AAAAAAAAAAAAAAAAAGTAAATGAGAAAATTAGGGTAACAGAAATTAAGTTCTCTCTTAATTCAAACCTTTGTATTTTGGTGTAGCTTTCAGACTAAAAGAAAATTCCTGGGGCGCCTGGGTGGCTCAGTCGTTAAACGACTGCCTTTGGCTTAGGTCATGATCCCAGGGTCCTGGGACCGAGCCCCGCATCGGGCTCCTTGCTCAGCAGGGAGTCTGCTTCTCCCTCTCTCTCGGCCTGCCGTTCCCCCTGCTTGTGCTGTCAATCTCTCTGTCAAATAAATAAAATCTATCTATCTATATATAAAAAATTCCTGTTTGGAATTAACAAGCTTCGGGGTGAGCCTGTGAGTGTCTGGGCAGCCAGCAGGGGTCGCCACCTTTCACGCTCAGGCATTCCCGACGTTCGGTCGTATGTGGTCCGGGTACCATTTAATGCCACGTGGGCTCACTAGTTTTATTTGTAAAATAATCCATCAGAGTCATGGGATTTAATTTTCCATCATGCATATGGGAAAAGAAGAAAAGAGGAAAAGGCTATTGATCTTCTGATCTGATGAGAAAGCTTACTTGTATTTGTAGAGGCTACATGCAGGAAGTCAGCAGGGCAGCAAATGATCAAGTAAGACAACCCATCAGGGTGAAAACCTTCCAGAGGGAACAGTCACTGGACATGGCCACAATTATTATAGTTTTTGGCATCCCAGAAAACCCTGTAGAAGTTGCTTCTGAGTAATATTAATAAGGAACAGGGCAAGTTGGAGGGAGTTAGAAATTTCCAGTCTCTCTGGTGCACCGGACAAAATTAATATTCTTGTAAAAAAAGTTGTCTTCTTCACATCTTATTAACTCAGATCCTTTGAATTAACTTTATGATAAAGAACGCTCTCTTTTTTCCTTATAGTTGCTCTTTCCGCATTAGTTTGACAAATATTAAGTACGTACTATGTGCCATAATTGTACTAGCTTCTGGGGATAGAAGAGTGAACAAGAGGTGTAAAAACTGGTATTGCAGGAAGGAGATGGAAATAGCAGCTCCCTTGGCTTCTGGACGTGCAAGTGCCATTCCCGTGCCCACATCCGGGACCCGGAGTCTCATCTTGGTGTGGAGCGGAGTCATGACCACCTGCCCTATCCACTGTCCGCAATGACTTCCTCCTCTTTCTTTCTGAAGACAGGAAGGTGAGCACAGTGGTCCCAGGCCCTCAGCAGCCCCTCCTCCAAAGCTCTCATGAACCACTCTAGCAGGAGGGATTCAGGCTGACCCCGACTCTCAACCCCCTCGAGGGTCCTAGACCTACACTGAGCAGACCCTTCTCTGCCTTCCCCTGGTCCAGGGCTGGGCTCGCCGTTTATAGATGGTCACCGTGAGCCCAGAATACATCCGAGGCCACCGACGGAGAAGCCAGAGAATCAAACCGGGAATGCTCTTGGTTCCCAGCACTCCCCTCGATGTCACAGTCACTTCCCCTTTGGCCCTGGGTGCGGAGAGGGATGGATGCAGAATGCAGGCTCGCTGGATCAAGGCTGTAGCTAGGAGACAAAACGAGTGGCTTCCCAATGCCTGCTTCTGAGGTGGGGGTGGGTGACTTCCCTGGTAGTGGTGGTGAGAGGGAAGGTGGCGACGTGGTTGACAGCGGGGATGATGGTCATGCTGCTGCTGCTGCTGGCGTCAGAAGGGGCTGTGGTGATGGTGCAGTGAAAGTGTTGTTGGTGTTGGAGATGCTAGCGGTTGTGACCTCAGCCGAAGACCCTTTATTGCCATCTTAGGTCCACTCTGTTCCATATGGAGACTCGCATTTCTTTTTTTTTTTTTTTTTTTTTTTTTTTTTTTTTTAATTTTTTTTTATTCGTATGTTAATCCCCATACATTACATCATTAGTTCTAGATGAAGTGTTCCATGATTCATTGTTCGTGCACAACACCCAGTGCTCCATGCAGAACGTGCCCTCCTCAGCACCCACCACCAGGCCAACCCATCCTCCCACCCCCCTCCCCTCTAGAACCCTCAGTTTGTTTTTCAGAGTCCATCGTCTCTCATGGTTCGTCCACCCCTCCGATTTCCCCCGCTTCATTCCTCCCCTCCCGCTACCTTCTTCTTCTTCTTTTTTTTTTTCTTAACATATCTTGCATTATTTGTGGAGACTCGCATTTCTAAGCGTGAACTCTGGGACGTCA